TTTGATGTTATTTTATACCTCGTTTTATACTGTTTCACACTTTCATACCGATAAGTGGCCCGTCGACAACCTGACTACAGTCAACAACTACCAGCGAACTGGCCACAAAATAAACGGCGCATCTTTGGAACGGTACTACACCAAAAATAACCAACCACATATGCCTTCAACTACGTGGCAAAGAAACGAAAATAGCAGTCCGACAAAACACAATCGCGAGATTATCGCTATGTAAACATTTTTCAACGGCACTCACACACCACACACACAAAGTAGGCTGGTAAATCCACTTGCGACAAAGTAGGCTGGCTGAAGATCACACTTCCACATACCACTGGATCACATCGTTTCACTAGGCCCGTGTCGGGGTGACTCATCCGGCGCAGGGGGTGGTGCACGGAAGAGGATTGGGGGGCGAGCTTTCTTTGTCGCGAGATAAGGAATCGCGACAATGGCAATTGAAAAATTGACAGGCGCGGTCCGCAAACGCACGACGCACGCACTCGGCTCGCTGGCTCAAACTCGAATGAGCGGCGAATGACGATTCGGTCGAGTCGAGGCGGAAGGGCACGAAGGCACCCGAGCGGAGGCGCGCGCGGGAAGTAAAAGCGCAGGATTCGGGGCGGTGGGGGGAGGACCTGCTCGTCGTTGTCATCTTAGGAGAGCGAATTAAATGCGGCGTTGCCGAAGGAGATTGCTTTTCACGAGATTTGAATACTATGAACTATGATTGTGAATCAAGAATGGCCGGAACCAAGGTTAGTAGTAATAATTTGAACCCAGTTCCCAGGGGTTGCTACGCTACTTAATAAAAATAATTTGAAGGATAAACAGTATCTCAAGTCATTTTATTTATAGCTGACCCGGAAATAGTATATTGTGCAACAAGCAGTGGGAAGAGTTCAACTTTTCTCACGAGTGTGAAAGTTTGTGGCACGCGCCTGAAGGGCGAGTGATGCAAACACACGAGTATATCATGAAAAAAATGATGATATAGATTCAAATTCCTTGTTAATGAAAATTACAAATTTTCGTTTTCTGCGAATAACTTAAAAACTAAAAATGGTACATAATTTTCATTCGAACATTTTTATAACCCGCTTTGTTTTTGTGATACAAGGCGAAATTGAAAATGTTGCATTCTGCCCCCCACCCCCTCCGTCCCCCTATATCAAAACTATCTTTCAACTTATAGAAGAAGTAAAAACTGTCACTTATAGGTAACCCAAAGTTATGTTTGACGACAATCATGAAACATTCTGCACTCGCTTTTTCTCATTGCCACCTACTTATTAGGTCCACAGCTTTTATTGTCAATAAATAGTGCTGAATATAAGTAAAATTCAAATTATGACGAAACACTCTGCCAGCAACATGTGAATATGGAAATTCATGATGTTAAAATATTAAAAATATTGTGACTTTTACAAGGCGGATCAATAAGAAATATACCAACTAAAAAATTGTAAATTATCTGAATTCAAGGCTGATACTCAAAATATCGTATATAGGTGATATTATTTTTGAAAAGCGGAAAGCATAAATGTTATAGGTATATATGATATGAAAAAACACCTGAAAAGGATGGTCCCTTGAGAAAAAACATGAAATTGGGTGATATCTGCATAATAACAGCTTATCTTGAAAATCTGACTACGCCACTGGATTCCAGGTGAAAAATTGTATGAGTTATATACAGTGTCTTTCAAAAGTATCGGAACGGTCTCATATTTCAGGAACGGCTTGAGAAAAATTCACGAAATTTTCTACAGGGCGATTATTGATAATGTCCGATTCAATTATGGCATCGGCAATGTTGCCAAGTTTACAGTTTTTCAGATATTAGGAGTAACTTTATATTTTCAAATGGAATACCCCATTTATTTTGATTGCAATTAATTGAGCGCCTCCTAATTACTTGAGTCCCTGAATATCAGATTCGTAATTGACGTGATTTTCGAAATATGACAACATAGCATTTTCGTTAAAAAGTTCTGAAACGATCCCATATTTCAGAAACGGCTCAGAAAAAAATTATGAAAACTTCGACAGGATGGTTGTTGATGATGCCCGATTCAATGGTGATATCGGCAATGTTTTCAAATCAACAGTTTTTCAGATATTTAGGGTAACTCAAATCTTTCTGATGGAATAACCTATTTGTTTTCATTGCAATGAATTCAGCGACGCCTCATTACTTATGTCTCCAAATATCAGATTTTAAATTGAAGTGGTTTTCGAAATATGACAACATGGCATTTTCGTCCAAAAGTCTGGGAACCTTACATACGGATACAAGGAAAATTCAAGAAATGTTATACAAGATGGTTTCTGATGATGCCCAATTCAATGGTGATATCGGCAATGTTGCCAAATCAACAGTTTTTCAGATATTGAATGTATTGCAATGAAAACAAATAGGGTATTCCATTTGAAAAAATTGAGATACCCTAAATATCTGAAAAACTGTTGATTTGGCAACATTGCTGATATCACCGTTGAATCGGGCATCATCACCAACCATTCTGTCGAAGTTTTCATAAATTTTCTCTGAGCCGTTTCTGAAATATGGGACCGTTCCAGAACTTTTTAACGAAAATGCTATGTTGTCATATTTCGAAAATCACGTTAATTACGAATCTGATATGCAGGGACTCAAGTAATTAGGAGGCGCTCAATTAATTGCATCAAAAATAAATTGGGTATTCCATTTGAAAAAATAAAGTTACTCCTAATATCTGAAAAACTGTAAATTTTGCAACATTGCCGATGCCACCATTGAATCGGACATCATCAATAATCACCCTGTAAAAAATTTCGTGAATTTTTCTTAAGCCGTTCCTGAAATATGAGACCGTTCCGATACTTTTGAAAGACACTGTATAGTATGATAGCTGAGATACAGGGAGGTCTCAAAATGTAACATTCTCCATTTTGCCCTGTATCTCAAAAACGATAAGTGGACTATGAAAATTTTGTTTGCGGCATCGTGAGTTTCACAAATAAGTGCCAACGTTCGCTTAAACCGCAAATCTCTATCTCTGAAAATAAACTACTCAACACTAATTTCGTCGCACACCAAAATGTCGCTTCTGTTATAATGTGAATAACTTTTTTCTGTTTAGAACAATTTGAATTTGGTTCACACTGTTCGATAGCCCAGTCCTTCAGCTATAATCTCGTACTTCATTGAAACATAAGGGTATTCACATAAAATCTCTACATGGTGTTTTCCGACACTGTGCGAAATTTCGGAATATTCAAAAGGCTCTCAAATGGTGAAAAAAAATTTTTTCCCCAACTTCGACAACAGAGGCATGAAGATCATCTCATTATCTCGAGATATTTCGCGAATCAACTTCCTATCTCTCTTATTTACAGGGTGGTCTCAAAAAATCAACTTTTTGGTTTTGCAGCCATAACTTTTTTTTACGTCAACCGATGTTGGAAATCTTAGGCTCATTTTGAAGATAAAACTTCAGATGAAGAGATCTGAATATCAGAATTGACTCAAGATGGCTATCAAAGATCTAGAGTTTTCTTGAAAGTGACCCAAATCTGGAACGCCCTTCGAATCTTGGTTGGGAGGAGAATTGAATGAAAATCAACTTGTTCTCGGAAAAACAATTCATTCTGGATGCGTCCATATTTTCCTCGCTCTCAGTAGTCAAGAATTGTGCGTGAGAAAACACAATTGAAACATGTTCTTGCAAAAACATTAGATCATTTCTACTCTGTAATGCATGGCCCGCCGTAACCAACGTTACAAGAATCACAATTGGGATTATGAAATCCAGTGGCGTCCTGGGGGGCAACCTACCGAATATTATTGTCAATATGAAATGTGCGCTACTGATTTATTTGAATTTTGTATCTTCATAACCTATTGACCAACTGAAAATACAATATTTAGGTCTCTTGTTTTGTTTCGATCTCAGTTTCGATAATTTGGTTCATTTATATGGAAAAAAATGAATATGTACCAATTTATTGCATGAATTTGTGCCAAAAAATTCCTTCAAAACTAGAGTGAAAATAAATGCGTGATCAATGTCCATAGACATAGAATGAATATGAAGATTCATTTTCTTCAAATATTTGTTGGTACTTACATGTTTGACACACCCTACACTCTGTATTCTCGGTCCAGGAAGTTGTATAGTTTATTCCCATAATGCAAACTGTGTCAAACATGTATTATGAAATATTTGGAGAAAATGAATCTTTATTCTCAGTCTACGTCTATGGACATGGAACACACATTTAACTTCACCTTTGTTTTTGAAGAAATGTTTTGCGCGAATTTTTACAATGAATTGGTATTTTTTTCCACGGAAACGCAGCAAAATAGCAAAACAATTCAAGAGACCAAAATGTTGTATTTTCAGTTAATCATTAGGATATGAAGAAAAAGAATAAAAAAAATCAGTGGCGCACATTTTATTGACAATAATATTCGGTAGGGTGCCTCCTGGACGCCACTGGATTTTACAAATCCATTTTAATTACGATTAAATCAGCCTCTCATGACAAAGAATATCATTTCCCAATTTTAAGAGAATCGGTGGAAGGATATTTGAGATATTCATAAAAAATTTCTAAAAAGTTCAACACACTGTATCTTGAAGGACTATCCCGATTTTGTCACAAAATTATCTATATTGAATACTATTTTCATGAAATTTTGTATACGATCATTCGAAGGGATGCTGAATCCAATGGTCATTTCAAATTTTTGGTGAAAAAATCGCTTATATGAATAATTCTGGAATTTTAACCTCATCTATATATGTATGAATATTTTAGGCCTTGTTTTCACTCATTCATAGGACTCACCACGTTTGTAAGTAAATTGTATCCTTGATTATATTGTATGAAGCCCATTGTAGAAATGCAATGTTGGCAATTATTTCTGTGAAAAGTTGGTTTCAGGAATTTTCACATTATCAACTTTAGTATGGTAGGTAACTAAGAGTTAGGAACTTTCCAAATAAAACGTGAAGATTTAAATGATATATTATTTTATTGATAAACAAAAATTGATCAAAGTATACTTAACCTAGTTTATTGGTAATACAGCTCAATGTTCATACCATCATGGATTTCATCTGTTGCCAAGTATTAAGGAAATATTTTTCTTCTTCAAATGTTATAAAACCAATTTTGTGTATTTTTTTCATTGAAAACTCCATCATTTTGTGTTCACTCAATGTCAGTGAGTGTGAATTTTGATGACTAATTTCATTGAAATTACTTGAAACATTAAATATAGCAAGATTAGCAAGCAACAAACTTTTTCTGCCTAGCAGAGAAAGTTCAACTTTCCTGCCTGTGAAGTGTCAGATATAAGTCACTTTCTCTGCCACTTAAAGAAAAAAAATTTCAAGATCAATTAAGTAGTTGTAGTGTATCTACCCATCAGAGTACTCTACATTCTGGGTATTGTGAATGAAATGAGGTAATGGGTATATAATATATAAATTATATATTATTGAAAAGTAAAAGTATATCAGAAAACTTGATCCATGACTCACTGTGTACTGTGTTCTAGATTTTGTTCAGCCAATTTTACCAATGAACAGCAAATTATCCAAAATGTGTAGATACTAGATACCTACTGCAAAGAAAATTTACCTGTGTGGAGCTTACCTATTTGAAGTACATCTTTTACTTATCAGATCATTAGCTTATAAGTATGGAAAAAAAGGATACAGTCTTGAAGTTGTATGTGGTCCTTGAATGTAGTGTACCATTTTTTCAAAACGATTTTGTCCCATTTAGTTCCTGTTTGTGCAGCAATCAACTTTTTCAGGTCACCTACGGTATCGTCTGGATTACATTTTACTCGGACCTTTTTGCCCAATCGGTCATTGCATGTTATTTCAATCATTGTTTGGGATGTTTCTGTAACTAGTTACTTTTCTGAAAATATAAAATTATTCAAATCACATAAGACGAAATGATACGGACCTGGGAACCTACCATATATAATTGCTTTTATTCGTCTGAGATTCTATGTATAAAACTACTGTGAAACTTGAAAGTATCACTGAAAAGAGAAATATTTGTTTATTTATTCGATCACAATAACCATTCATTGCCAGATTGACACAGAACTACAAAGTCACAGTACCCACTACACAGATTCACAGAACAGTGAAAAGAAGACAATTCGGTGAAACTGGCAGGAACAGTTCTGACATCTGACAAGTGACTGAACTGAAGTGATTAAGGACAAAAAAAGAGAAGAGGAGAGAAAGAGGACTAAGAGGAGAGGAATCTAGAAAAAGTAAAGTAGGGTAGATTGAGGAGTGAGTGCGTGGAGCTTTTTGGCTCAAATTTTTTAAAATGATTATTCCAACAGAATATATTTCAATGGCAGAAGATGTTGCTGATGGGGTACGTATTCTAGTTTAATATGTTTGAAGTACAAAATAGATATTTCATCAATTCATTAGGTTTTTTTTATGCCTGATAAAATTCTTCTTCAAAATATCTGAAAATGTCACGTCAGCTCATACCCTTTTCACTTTAATTTTCAGAACAGATAAAATTCTCACAGTGGTTTTAGTGCTATAACTGCTATTTTGCTTTTCAACCACTATCTACATTGATGTGGTCTCTAGAATATTTTTTGTCACCATTATTTTAGGTTAACATTTAGTTACAAATCAAAAACAAGCACTATTTTCAAAAATTGAATCCATATGGTCCTTGATCTTCAATTCAAACATAGTCTTTACCTGCTAGGTACTGAACTAGCTTTTTTTCATTGAAGACTTGTGGCTCTGAGACCACCAAAACAGCTGTTTCCTTTGCTTCCAAGATTTTGTCCTGTCATGATCATGTCCCAGCTGATTTTCACTCAAACTCCTATTTCAGGTTATCAGAAAATTGAAACACATTCTGCCAACGCTTGCTAGAGTATGCCTCATATCCACCTTCTTGGAAGATGGCCTTAGAATGTGGTTCCAATGGACAGAACAAAGAGAATACATGGACATGTCATGGGGTTGTGGCAAGTTTTTGGCTACTGTGTTTGTATTGGTGAATCTGTTTGGTCAGCTAGGGGGCTGTGTAATGGTGATAGTCAGGTACAGAGTGAACATTGCTTGTGGAATCTTGTTTTTCATTGTAGCATTACAAGTAAGTCAAAATTTCTAACAAATTCACTGGGACTGTTGCTTCAAAATGTTCATTTTCTATTTTAGACACTAGCCTACAGTATTTTATGGGACCTTCAATTCCTATTCAGGAACTTGGCCCTTGTAGGGGCCCTATTACTTGTACTGGCTGAAAGTAGAGGGGAAGCAAAGAGTCTGTTTGCTGGAGTCCCATCTCTAGGAGACAATAAACCTAAGAATTATCTACAGCTGACTGGTCGCATCTTGCTTGCCTTTATGTTCATCACACTAATTCGTTTTGAATTAAGTTTTATACAGGTGAGATAAAGTACAATATTTTCTATGAAATATCTATCAGCAATTGTTTATTGGGAAATTGTGGTGGATTTCTTTGGGAGTCTTCATAATTATTTGGAATTTTTCTTCATGACTTTGAAAATCTTGGATATCTTTGAGAAACCATTGAAATTTGCTTTGGGTGGCCTTGTGAAGTTTTAGAAAATTGAAATCTGTTACTATCGAAATTTTTTGAAAATAACTTGATATAACCACAGTTAAAATCTCTTCAAATTGAAGTTGTGATACATTTGAAAATTCCTTGGAGTATTTGGACTTCCTCTATATTGAAATTTTCCAGGATATTTCATGATTACTTGAAATTTCAAGGAATTATCTATACTTTCTGTTTTTCATTATTTTATTCATTTGGGATTTCATGGATTTTTTTAATATCTTGGGAGAGTTGGAAGTCATTATATATTTGATGAAAACATTGGAATTCCATCAAATCATTCAGAACTATTTGACATTCTCTGAATATTTGAGGTAAATGTAACTAGTTGAAATTTGATTCTTTATTTTTTAGATTGTCCTGGATCTTTTGGGATCATCCCTAATGGTTTTGGTGACAATAGGTTACAAAACCAAGCTATCAGCTCTGATTTTAGTCCTTTTATTGACTACATTGAACTTTTACCATAACGCATGGTGGAATATTCCTGACTATAAACCATTGAGAGACTTCCTCAAGTATGATTTCTTCCAGGTAATATTTTTGTTTTCATTTTCCTTTTGTTGAATTTTTGTTTGTACTGAACTTGATTCTTTTTCAGACTTTGTCAGTCATTGGAGGCCTTCTGATGATAGTTTATCTTGGACCAGGTGGTGTTTCAATGGATGAGCACAAAAAACGGTGGTAAAATTTACAGTCATTCCCAATGGATATTTCGTGACCAAGTTGTGAATGACACTTTCCATTTTCTTGATGGTCCAAATCTGTGTTGAAATTGACTTGTTCATCAATTTCACATGCAGTTTTTGGTTCTGGTCTGTTTTCAAATTTAATTTATGTTTTCCTATTTAAAGTTGTGTAAATATTTTATTATGTGAAAGATTTTTGACTTGAAACTGTTCAAAAGACAGACATTTTTATAAAAATCACTACTATTTTGACCTCAGAAGTAAGAGTATACTTGAAGGTGACAAGGTGGATCTTTAATTTTTTTTGTATAGATTTATGCTCAAACTTTCTTCCATCATATTCTGATTGTATCCGAGATTTTTTATGTTTAAAAGAGTGGGTTGTTATTAGGATTTATAATAAATTACATATTTTTACTAAGCAGGTTTATTCTTCTCTATAAATTTCACAATATCACTAGCAATATTTCTGTAACAAACACTTATATCATTCTGTCCATCTTGAATTACCATGGGGGTTCCTTTGTCAGAACATGAGGACATTTCTGGGTCCAGTGGAAAGCTTCCCAGAATGGCACATTCCAAATCTTCAGCCAGTTTTGCTGTCCCAGTACCAAAAACGTTGATATTTTGTGAACATGAAGTACATCTGACATAGCTCATATTTTCCACCAAACCTATAATAGGAACTTTCAATTTTTTAAACATCATGGCACCCCTTCTAGTCACTTCTAGTGCTGCCGTTTGCGGGGTTGTCACCAGCACCACCCCTGAAATGTACATATTTGAATCACTCCTAAATTAACTCATTAATACTAACAAGGTGACCAATCATTATGAGAGCAATGAAGCCAGAAATTCTATTCAGTAGGTGGCGGTATCAGAGATGTATAGAAATTTAACTGGTGCGCTTGCTCCCTATTGAAGGTCGTTTGCAAGTTTCTCGATGGCGCCTACTCTGATAAACCTTTGATCACTTTGATAAACATACTTGACGTGGGTGAATCTCGCTAAGCTCATCCTGGTTACAATCCATATTTACAGGAAACATATTACCGACCGATAAATATTTGGATACGTATATGATTTGGATTAGAGCAGTGAACTGATTGCTGATCAAAGGATCAAAACGTCAATATGTCAAAAATATTCTTGAGCTGAAAAAATGGTTATTTCTGAGATTGGGGTCGTGTTTGTTAGGCACCTATTCCTTAGTTTCTAAATTTTGTGTATATATAATACCTAATCCACCATAGAAAAACGAAAATATCTGTTCTACAACAGTATTATTTCAGTGATTTGAAATATTAGCGTGAACTGGTGTGAATAAATTCTAAGTCCAGTCTAAAGTCTAATTCCAGTTACCATATCTGCCTATTATGATTTTCGATATTGGTCTTTTTCAATAGTTGATACATTCTTTGTTCTGGTTCTTCAAAGAGGAAATTCATCAGATTTCATACAACTAGGTTCATGTCATGAAAGAAGTGAAGCTTATTGAAATCGGCTACAAAAAAGATTTCTTGCTTCTACATATTGCAAATTGAAATTTGAATGAAGATGTTGATCACAGTATTTATTCCACCACAGAACAATGATGGAAATAGATTCATCCCTCACAGAACCAAGGTTTTGAACGATTTTCCGATTATGGCGCCTCTATCGCAAATTCCTGAACCCCACGTCCAAAACTCGCTTGCAATTGTTCCATATGGAGAGTTAGTCTGACCAAACAATTGAAGAGTGAGCCCACCAGTTAAATTTCTATACATCTCTGCCGTATCCATGAGCAACAAGGTGAACTACTTTTTGTTGAGTAGCAAAGGGTAGAGATCGATGATGCAGAATATATTGGAAATTTATTTTTAGTTGTTTTTATGCAAGAAAGAATGTTGCATCAGGGCAGGATTTCAATATTTTGATTGATTGATTGATTGTCTTTATTACCCCAAGAAACATTTCTGTTTATGATAGGGATACATAAATACATATAAAAAAATAATAATAAAGGGTTAACTATAATGAATTCCACTCAGTGGAAACGAATTAATATTGTGTCTTATAAGATTAAAGTTATATTTCATTCCTAAGTAATCAAATCATGTCACATATTTTTCTTTCAAATTGTCCTGAGCAAGTATTTTTTAAGATTGATTTTGAACCTTCTTGCATCATGTATATTTTTTAACTCATTCGGTAATGAATTGTATAAAATTATTCCATTGTGAAAAACAGATTGTTTGCCAATGTTTGACTTGAATGTATTTGCAATCAAGTAATTCAATTGTCTAGTCCCATAATTATGGACTGTATTGACTTCATTGAAAGCTAAATTTGATATTTTCAACTTATTCCTGGCAAAATGAATAAAGCAACATATTTTAAGTTTATATAACGAAATCAGGTTCAGAAAATGTCTTGGTTTGTATAAATTTATCGTTGGTTCTAGAAAATGTAGATGAAAAATGCACTTAATTGATTTGTTTTGTAATTTCATTAGTGGTTTCAAACGTGATATATTTGTACTCCCCCAAATAGAAATTAAATATTGCAAATTTGAATAAATGAGGCAAAAGTAAATACATTTCAAGTATTTTATGGGAATAATATTTCGGATTTTGAATAAAATGCCTATGATCGGATTTATTTTATTTCTCAAATAGTCTATATGTTTAGTCCATAATAATTTTTCGTCGATATAGAGACCTAAAAATTTTGTCACGTCTGTATATTTAATTAATCTATTGTTGAAAGTTATAGCATTATTCGAAATATTAACTGATCTTTTAGAAATATACATATATGAAGATTTGTTATAATTAAGAGTCAACTTATGAATTTGCATCCAAGATGATATGTTTTCCAAATCACTTGTAATATCCCGTTCAATATCATTTAATTCTTTGGATATATAAATCAATGTTGTATCATCCGCAAATAATTTTAGCTTTCCTTTCAATTTCAGAGTTGATATTGAATTGATATAAATTAAAAATAAAATTGGTCCCAGAACTGATCCTTGCGGTACTCCACATGTAATATTCTTTAGTGAGCCAGAAAGATCATTCACTTCAACATACTGCTTTCTATTTGTCAAATAATGTGTGAACCAATCATGAATTCTTCCTCTGACGCCGATTGAATATAATTTATTTAGTAAAATTGTATGATCTACTGTGTCAAATGCCTTACATAGGTCCAAGGACAAGAAGCCACATTTATAATTTTCATCAATCCGTGATTGTATATCCGAAATTACATCCATTACAGCTATCTCTGTATCCTTTGACCTACGGAATCCATATTGACCACTGTACAATAGATTGTTATTTTCAAGGAAGTCAATAAGACGATTATTCATGATTTTTTCTATAATTTTAGAAAGGATAGGGAGGACAGATATTGGCCTGTAATTATTCATATCGTCTCTCTTACCAGTTTTGTATATTGGCAATACTTTAGCAATTTTCATTTTGTCAGGAATAATACCAGTTTCAAAAGATTTGGAAATAATTTTCAACAAGATGGGAGTTAATTCAGATTTGATTACTTTTACAATTTTTACAGTTATGAAATCAAATCCACAAGATTTTCGTACATCCAAGTTATCAATTATATTTTCAATTTCTGAAATATTTGTTGGTGTTAGGAACATAGATAAAACACGTGAACAATCGTTCATTGTTCCAGAAATTGGAGGTATTTTCGAAGATAAATTTGGACCAACATTGATAAAGTGATTATTGATTGCATCACTCATCAAATGACTACTTTCAATTTTGATATTATTCAATTTGATATATTTGATATTATCAGTCTGATTTTTTGACTTATTGTATAAGAGTGAATTGATACCATTCCAAACTGATTTCGCAGTGCCATTGAAAAAATGGTTATCGTAAAATTTCTTTTTTGATTCCCTTATTGTTTTCTTCACCAAGTTATTATAGAAATCATATTGATCTTTGAAATAATTTATATTTGGGTGGATTTTTCTTTTGTGATGAAATTTGTCACGTAATTTGATTAAATAACTGACATTATGATCAAACCATGGTTTGGAGTCAAACCTCTGTTTAATAATTTTTGATATCAAACAATTATGGAAAATGTTCAATAGTTTCTCATATGCTTCATCAAGATTATCGTAATTATCGATATTGTCATTCAGCATTTTCAATTCAGTTCGTAATTTTTCTATGTCATATGTTCTTATTAATTTGGTCACATATTTATGCTTATTTTCCGAGATTGGTTCAGGAAGGCAAGTAAGGTAAAATTTATGATCACTCAATGAGTTGTTGATAATAAAAACGTCAAGATTTTTTTTAGAATTTGTTATGAAATGGTCAAGTAGTGATAAGTTTCTAGTAGGTATACTTTCATTACAATTTCTGAAACTACTAGTATTGTAAATATCAATCAAATCTTTAGATTCATTGCTATTCATTAATAAATTTATGTTCATATCACCAAAGTAAAAACATTCTTCACATTTGTTTCTATTAATTGTCTCAAGTGACTTTTCCAAGAAATTAAAAAAATAACGGATTTTTAAATCTTGTGGTCTATAAATGCAACAGAGTACTATTTCTGGGGATTTGATTTTAATTGCCAAATATGTTATAGGGGATTCTTCTTTCTGAATTATATCAAAATTGAAATTTTCATGAATGAAAATTCCTACACCACCTCCTCGTTTTTCGCGACTTGCATATACTGCATTGTAGTTCTTGAAATTGTAATACTTTTCTTCTTCTTTATTCATCCATGTCTCAGTTATAACAACGGCTGCAATCTTCAATTGATTGATGATAATTTCTAATTCGTCCATTTTATTTTTTATAGATCTTGAATTAAGGTATAATATTCTCAGTCTGTTACTGTGATTCATTTCCATATCATTAATAGATGTTAATTCACATAATTTTATAGTGGAATCGTTTATCATAATTTGATCATTTTGTTTTCAATTGATATAGTCAATCTGAGACTTAAGCTGATCGAGATAAAACATGTATGTTGGACAATTCTGATCTGTAGCTGGATGCTTCACACAGTATTCTTTTTTGTAGCGTTGGTTGGAAAACACACAATTGTTGCATTTTGGTTGTTCATTATTCTGACAAAATCTAACTTCGTGTGAACCACAGCAACGAGGACATAATAATTCATTTCTACATTTGTTCGATTTATGATTGAATCCGTAACATTTATTACATTGGGATATAATATTATTATCGTATACCTTCAAATTTTGCCATCCGACAAAAAGTTTGTTATCATTTATCATTATTCTCTGTAGTAGCTTTCCATTTATTTCTGCAAATACTGTATATGTACGCTTGTTTTCCAAATATTTCATAAACTCTATTTTGAACGTATCTTCTTCTCTTATAATAGTATTTTGTTCTATTATCATTCATTATTTAAGAGTCATAATATCAAAGTTGGTGATTTTCCTGCTTCACAATGGATATTTCTAGATACTTCAGTGACTTGCAGATGGATGGACTGGAACACATTCCGGGAGTAAAGACAAATCAGCCATATTTCTATAGCTCCGCCTTTGAACCGCCAAGAACTATGGCTAAATTTGGCTTCAATATTTTCATCTGTTAGTGTGAATAATAAAGGTTCTTATGGAATCTTACCAGATACTGGAAGATTTTGTATGAGGCTAAGTAGGGTGTCTCCGGTTCCTGGGGGTGTGTCCACAATTAGAAATTCAACCCCATCCCAGTGGACTTGCCTCATCAGTTTTTCGAGAGCCTGCATCACCATAAGGCCCCTCCATATCACAGGAGTGTCTTTGTCTACCAAAAAACCCATGGACATGCTGAAAATAAGGTGGAGTCATGTGACCAATACTGAGGCGGTCATACCATTGTCGTTTTAAATGGAAACCTAGTAGATGAGGAATACTATTGTTTGGTTCAGTGACAAGGAGTATGCAAAATTCGGCCTTTCAGTACACCAGTGCCCTCTATTTTGAATTTAGTTATCTAGTTGTTATCCTAACCCTAGACATTTTTTGTATTCCTGTCAAGATCAACCTTTCTGAAATTTCTTATGTTGAAACATTTCAACTAATAACAGCACATTTTTTATGTAAAGGAACTGAAAACTCATCAGTGCTGTGGAAAAGATGGCAGCATCCAAACTGAGAATTGGAAGGGTTTCTCTACGAATTGTAGATAACATGTCATATCTCTGAAAATCACACTTTCATAGGTAACCAAATCACACTACTGGAACGTTCCTATTATATCTTCTTCTCCCCCAGTGTAAGAATTTGGTCATTGGTCGTCATAATGTCCCGCATTGAAAGTAAAAGTCTGCAGGAGTTTTTCTATTTGATCAAATATTCTACATCATTTATTCTGAATATTTTCAATAAAACAGGCCACAGCCTTAAGGACTGTCCGGTTAAATTTTGGGTTTTCTTTGACATTGAATCGCATTGACCTCACACCTCACGTTTTATTGAGGCTAACTGGTGAGACTGAGAATGTTAGCCCTCATTGGTCAGGGATATTTTACTCCTCACATATAATATTTTTGTATGTAGGTATGATCTGTGGTCTTTACAAAGTGGAAGATGAATGTGTTGAAAAATGCCCACACTTCCATTTCATTATGAATCTGTTACTATTTGCAGTTGGATCCAAAATTTGGTGTTTCATGACCAAAATATCTAGTTCCGTGCTCAGGGGATGGTTATGTATAACATAATAATCAGTGACGTCAGATTCCGTGATCTTAATGATTTTTTGAGCATGTTGAGCTTTTCAAAGGAATCCAGATAACACCAACCACAAGGGAGGTCTATAAAACACGTTCAACCCAGCGTTCAACGTCAAGTACTGAGGAGTCCTCAAGGTATCCTCAGATAAGAAAGACTTGAGGAGTTCTTGAGGAAACGACCATAAACAGGGGCTTTTCATGGAAGTGTTTTTCATTCCATCCAAGAAAGTGCACACTGATAGATGCGTTTTTTTTTGTCGTGACGTCACCGGAATGATGGAATAATGAAATATACAACACATTGATGGAAAACGGATTTTGTTGTATGTCAGTCTCTCATGTATGAATCAGGAGAGACTGATATGATTTTATATGGAATTTAATGATTAACAATAATCTCTAGGATTTTTTGTTTTCTATCAAGGGGAAACCAAGAACAATACTCAAAATGAGTCAATTGTCATGTCAGTCTCCTCCAAACCACTGGATTTATGCAGTGATTTTAAAGTGGGCAATTTATTACAACAGTTTGATTGATTTCCATCAACATTTTAGGGTAATTTCACAGAAGTTTGATGGTTCCTTTGATTCATGCACATGACAAAATGGAATGAAAAACGCACCAGCTCTGCTCTATGAGCCTATGCTCTCTATATATATATTTATGTCTATTTCATGATATTTGCAGCATTGTCAGAAATAGTGCAACATTTTATAAGTTTTGAGGAGAATGATATTCATAATGTCTAATGTCACACTTTTTCAGTTTATTACTTTCTGATTCAAATCTGGTACCAAAATTTAGAGCCAGGAACAAAACTGGTCAATATGACATTTCTCAGGGTATTCTGTGAATATATCATACCTATATTATCCACCTGATAGGTTTTCACTTTCAATTCATAATAACAATATTCATACCATTTGATTCCATAATTCATCAGAGGCTCCATCAGATTATCTTTAGTTAAGTTAGGTGTTTCATTGAGGTTCATCATTAGGGGCACTGAGGGACCAAAGACGTCAGTATCCAACAGACCCACTCCCATCTCAGGATTGTTCAATTTCAAAGCACTGGCAAGATTTACTGAAATCTGTTTTGGATTTGTCAACTTGTTTACAATTTTTGAGGGTTATGTTACCTGATGTGGTGCTTTTTCCAACACCTCCTTTACCAGAACAAACCAGAACTATATGATCCACCCCTAAGATTGGTTTCTGTTTTGGTAGGCCCCTAGACATCACTTCTTGTCTTCGTTTTATCATTTCCTGTTGTCTTTGATCTGTTGACATCCATTTTATAACCTGTTTAATAAATTGGAACAATATTAATTCCAATAATTTTTCAGAAGTATTTATGAAGGCAATACCTGTGCACTAGATCGAGATCTGGAACAATACAACTTTTTGAATGACTTTATCATCCTAGGTTCTATAATTTTCAACACTAAAAAATCTCATATCATCCAGTATCAACAATCTCTAATTTGTCAAATTGTCAACTGTCAAAAGTCAAAAATCGAAACTCGTTCGTGTCTACTGTCATGGTCTAGATTGCCAACCGTTAAATGAGAAGTAGCAGTAAAAAATGAAACATTCAAACAGAGTTGACGTATTTGGTTTGGATTTTGGATGTATTTCACACATCATTCAACGACGTAAGAACTTGAAAGAGAAATAAGTTATTTAGTATTGGGCAAGAATATCTCAAAAAAATATCAAATTTCAGCGTTTTCTACTGGATTGTGATAACGTCGGTACAGTAGTGCTTTGCAAATAAACTGTCTATTTCAATTTAATGATTATAAAATATACCGTTTAGGTCCCTGAACGAAGTGAACAGCAGCATAATTATTCTTGATCAGACAGAAACTAATGTTTATTCATAGAATATATTTTCTCAAATCGGTCTAAAGAGTTTGCCAAAAAACTATTGATGGATAACTCTTGAACCTATATATGCATACAGGGGTAGCATTGAATAAATATAAGTGCAAATTTTTCAAACACTGAGAAAGACCCATTTTTCCACCCAAAGGTCTACACTGTAGCAATTCTAGCTGACACGTCACATCTGTTCAAATTAGCACTATATACTGGGGCGGTATAGGGTATAGGCACAATCACGCGTAGTTCAATAATTTAAATTGTTTTAAAGTGTGGTACCTACTTGATTTTTTTCTCGTATTTTGTTCAATTTTTGGGATGAAATTTCTTGTTAATTTGAAGAATTAGAAAAAATCTGATATCATGGGAATATTCCTTAGACTGTATTATATTATTGTGCTGAATATGTGCACTTATTTCAAAAAACAGCAACCATCATATATTTTATTTCTTCTGCGACGGAAAAAAGTTTGAAATTTTATTTCTGTTGACAGGTTATAAAATATGTCACCTTGACATTTCATGAATTACTTTTTTTCCACGGAAAAAAGAGAATACCTTCTTTTATATATATACACAGTTGATGGCTTTTGTTGTGCCAATAAAGCCGTCTCCGAGAAAGAACTGCGCAAGTCCTTTTATCTTCCATTCCACTTGCGCTTGAGTAAATTACTTAACAACCACTAAATTCGGAATTTTTGAAAAAAAATCACATTATATATTAGAATGACACATATTTGATTACTTCGAAAGCAGGATCAAAAGAATGATAAAGATGCCTGCCACGCAGGTCGTGTCATTCCTGTTGAAAACTTCAAATTTCACGTCGATAATTTTCTGATTTTAATATACTCAATGTAATATATCTTCTCAATATTGTTGCTCCCTTTCTCCTATCACAGAAAAAAATTGTGTATAATACACGGGAAAAATATTAGCTTCCCTACATAATGAATATATAGCTATTTTGTAATAATTTCTTCTATATATCATAACATAATTATCCTTTATTCTTGACTGAAGGTAACTTTTTCATCAGCATTCAAAAAATAAAACAATTATATGTTTATGAAAGTACATAAATATATAATATAATTTGTCCCATAAACATTATTCTTTCTGGTGATACATAACTCTGGGTATTATTTATATGCACGTTGTTTTACAATATATCACAGTTAGATCAAATTTTCTTTCACATACAAATTGATAGGTAGACGAATATAAATTTCATATAATATAAAGTATGACAAAAGTAGATAAAAATACATAGGTAGGTATACATTTACAATAATTTAAAAAATGCTGTATTTCTAGAAAACCGTAATTTTTAAAATGACTAGATTACTCAATCTTGCTTCCTATTACGCTTTCCGAATATTTTCATGAGATTTTTCGACATGAAATATGGCTTTTGAGGCGTACCATCGTTTCTCTCGCAGTCTTCCACTGAAATAAAAAATACTTATTATAATTATTATTAATATTTATAGTATAAGTTTATTGAATTCTTCCAAAAGTGAAATATTTCATATGGTAATCACAAAGAGGACTATAGTATAGTTTTCACATCTACTATATTTTACAGTGTGATCCACTTAAAACCAGAGCACGCTTATAAAATTCATGGTTTTCAGCTGATAAATTTTTTTTTTCGTTTCAGCAGAAAACGCATCAAAAGCGATCCACACGTTTACACAAATTTGCAGAAAATAAATAAAGATATAAAATGACTATAGATTAAAATTGCGAAATATCATAATTTATTTTTTCAAGAAAACTTGACTTCACCACTGGATACATAACATATACCATTTTTTTATGATTATTTCAGAAAAATTCTTAAAAGCGGCAACATTGTCAACACAAATGTAGGGAATCATTGATGTTTTGAATAGAAATTCGAGAATAATGAACGCTATGAAATATTATATCTACCATGAACATCAATGATTCCACAGCCGGCTCTATTTATAATAATATGCTTTATTGTCCAAAGATAGATAATCTTATTGAAAAAGTAGTTTTATGATTGAGGAAAGAAGGTTATTCGATAAAATCAAAATTGTAGGGCATAGAACAACACATTAAAAGATGGCAACGTTGACAATGTTGCCGCTTCTCAAAATTTGTCTGATATGTTCGTAAAAAATGATATGTCATTTTGTTACAAGAATTTAAAATAACTCTGCTGCCAATCATATTTGTTTGATGAAATGTTTTGCGATAAACCTAATTGAAGGATGCTGAGTCCAGTGGTGGAGTCGATTTTTTCTGATGAAATTCGAAAATTGGAATTATATTTTACAAATTCCTGTGAACATAAACCTCTCACTACTCTTTTAATGATACGAAAAAAAATGATTCGTCTGAAAACTGTGTATGTAGCTTTGAATATCTATAATAATTTTCATGATCAAAGCTGAAAGACCATGAATTTCCTTTTTTCTTTTTTTTTTCACTGTTTTTATTTTTCCCCTTCTCGTTCACTATAATATGACTGTATCTTAATGATATGTGAGTTTTGTTCACTATTTGTAATTTCAATTATACAACAGTCGATAATACTTCATGAATGATCTTATACCAGGAATTACTGTCTGATCATTCATGCCATTCCTACTAGAAAATTAATTATACTTTATATATTATTTGTATGAAATGTATCAATGAAGAAAAGAATGTAATGCAATAACTGAAATAAAAATAAAAATAAATAAAATAAATGTCATACTCACAAAAACATAAGAATAACGTATCCACGGCCATACTGTAGACGCTGAAGAACAGCGACGCGATCAAGTAGGTGCTGATCATTATTATGACCACGGGGACGAGGCCGTAATTCAGGTTGGAATTGTCGATGAAAGAGACCAAATCGGTGGCGAAAAAGACGTACGATACTGCACCCACTCCGAGAGTCAATAGGAGTTTACTCAAGAAAAACAGAAAGTCAGTCACCTGAAAACAAATAGCTCCTTTAGAATAGAGTGCCTCCTTTGATACCTATATATATGTTTTCCTCCGATTGGCAGCAAATATTAATTTTGCTGACACATATCAATCAGCAAAGTATTACTTTTCCTGAGTAGGCAGCAAAGTGGTTACTTTGCTGATTGATATGTATCAGCAAAATTGAAAATCCATGAATCGTTTATAATTTCCTTCATATCCCATCCGAGACTTCTCCGGCAACAAATTCAACTCTATATTTATTGCCACCTCCCTTATTAATGGAGGTGTAAGTATACTTCAAGGTCGCTATCACTGTCCATTATATAATAATTTGAATATACCGATATTTTTTCGCACAACTGTCAGAAATTTCATGATTTGTCAAACCAACAACTGCGATTTCTATCAAATTTTATTTTAATTGAACACTATACAGGAAGAATAAAGAGATTGTGGGAATTGTATTAATTCGCAAATACAATATTCTCCCATATCATTATGAACAATCGGAGAAAAAATTATATGTTCAACTCGGCATCAAAGTAGATTGACTGCCTTAGCTATGGATTCCTAGCCTCGCTACGCTCGGCTATGAATTCAGCCACGGCAGTCAATCTACTACTTTGCTGCCTAGTTAAACAAATAACTATTTGTATAAATAAAACCCATATTAATATGTAAGTGTAAAACATAAATAAAGTAAACGTCACACACATCACATGGTAAAAGCCCCCGAGGGTCCCGAAAAGGTCTCAGAAGTCGGCCACGAGTGATCCAGGGGGATAAGATTCACACAAGCATGCTGGAAATCGCTGGGACGAGCGGTAATTCAAATGTGCAGATTGTTTTCTTAATCTCTCTGAATTACCTTGTTCTTTTTATGTGTAAAATGAAATCAAAAACCACACTTAGATCCTTCTTTTTGCCATCGGCCTTCCGGGCGGGTTTGGGGTGGGTTGAGGTTTGGAGAGGGTTGTAGGATTAAACAAACTGAAATTCGAGGTCGCACTTGTATGTTGCCCATTGTAGTTAATGAGCATTTGGTTTCTGATGGCCCCTCCTCTCTGGGTTGGGCATGCTCGGAAGTCGTCTGGTCGGCCAGGAGCGTTTAGTCTTCCAGCCGATCAGATAACTTCCAAGTTTTTGAAAAAATTATGTTCAATTTCTGATGATTTCAGTTTGTTAGGAAATGAGAGGAGGGTGGGTAAACATTCCAGGGGTTCCCTGAAAATATCGCAGGCTTCGTAGATTAGCCCGTGTTTTCTACGTATGCCATGATCTGCTCTGATGGCTGTTATGTTTTCTGTTAGAGTACTGTTTGATAGATGGTAATGATACGGAGTACTTTTTATTCTGCAGAATTTGTAACCTACTCATGTGACTAGGAGAAATACTGCAGAACACAGGACAGGCGTATGTAAGAGTTGGTCTTATTATTTGCTTGTTTATCAGGAGCTTATTATCCAATGTCAGCGAGGAATTCCTGGCTAGCAGCGGATACAGCTTCCTGATCGCAGCATTGGCGTTGTTTAACCTTAGTGCTGTATTTTCCTGAAAGTTCATACGCCTGTCGAGTATTACTCCCAGGTATCTCACGGAGGCCCTGTCTCTCACCTCAGTGCCTTTGACACGCAGAGGTTGGAGTATTTTGTTGTAGACGCGTTTTCTGGAGAAATTAATGACTAGGGTCTTGGCCTGATTTACACCAATCTTTGCGTTGTCAAAATACGGTAAGACCATCCTGTCCAGATGCGTCTGGATCTGTGCTCTGGCGACGTTCGAGCTGAACGAATGTGCATATATTGCAGTATCATCTGCATACCTTGCCATATCATTGGCTGAAGGCTTCTTTGATCCCGTGAACAATTCGAGCTACTTGGGACGTGGTGCTATGCCCCTCTCGCCCGAATTTTTCAGGAAGGATCACACTCAGGTCCTCAGCAAAAGAGTGTCGACCATATATAGAAGGGCCTATCTATTACTCTGGCTATCATGCTAAGCAGAGAGATAGGGCGGTAGCTACCTGGCAATTTAGGGTTCTTGCCTGGTTTTGGTATTGGGACTATAATGTCTGTACTTAGAGACTCCGGGTAGTGCTGAAACTTGATTATCGCGTTTATTATATGCTTTACGTGGTAGGTTTTTCAGGAGAATCACATCAATCCCGTCAAATACTGATGCTTTGTTTATGTTTATCCTCTTAATTATGTCTATGATTTCTCTAGGTGTGGTGAGTACTTTGTTCAGGGTTGAACGAGACAAAGGGATGCTAGGGATGCAAGGATATCTGGCTGCCAATTCCAATATCTGCTGTTGTAGGTTGAGTGTTGAGTGCCTCGAAAATCTCATATTTCACGCCCTTTGAAGAGTGAGGACACGTTTATTGTCAACACTGAAATGTTCGCATTGTCATCATTCTCAGATTTGAAATGTCATCAGTTCTGAAAATTGAATAGGCGTTCAAGTGCTGAAGCATTTGAAATCAATGAAAAGTGGATGAAAATTATAGTAGGATGAAACCCATTGGAAAAGAAAGAGAATATAACAGATGAAAGAAAATAGCTATTTGTGTATTTAGAGCGCAAAGTGATAGATTGCCGCTTGACAAAGAAAGTTACCGCGCGATGCGGAGCGGAGCGCGGTAATCTTTGGAGAGCGGCAATAACACTTTGTGCTCGAAATACACACAAGATTTTTTCTACTAACGCAGCTTTTGGAAATAACTACCCTGAAACTTGAAATAGTTGAAAAAGTTCGTATCCATATTATCCCATATTATGTCCAAAGGAAACAAAAAAAAGGAAAATTGAAATAACTGATAAGCCAGAAAAAAAATGTCGGGCCTACCGAGAATTGAAACTGGACCACCAGCGTGGCAACCTGAGCTTCAGACCTCTGAGCCATAGTACGATAAACTCTGTAACCAAATTGAACATTACTCATTGATGCAATAAAATAAAGATACACTGCCTTTCTGATGACAACAAAGAGTTTAAATATAAAGTATAATTCATCGTTTTCAACAGATATGCTTCATCGGGAGCTTCTTGTAGAAATTTGTTGGTATATATATCTTCAGCGGTGAATGTTTTGGATTTTTCTCGCTTTATATCCAATAGATTTTGTTTCTTGAGAAATGCGATAAGTCTCAGATACTTATTGATTCCGATATTACCTTTGACATTCAAGCATGTATACGTACCATCGAATATATAGACCAATGAGTTGATGACTTCAAAGTCTTTGATTTTTTACCAAAATAAGCCAGTAAAACGTTTTCTGAATACATATTCACCATCTCGGAGTGGCACCAATTTATGAATGTATCATATTGTAATTCATATTTCTTCCTTGATTTCTCCGGTAAGAGATTCAAACTCTTGCGCTTTCTGCTATATCAGGAGGTGTGTTTGATGATTCACTGTCACTATTTTCCATCATGACAGAATTGGGGGTTTTCAAGAATAGATAAGTATAGGTTACAGAGATGTGCGAGCGTTTTTTCATTCAATATTTCCGCTCACGAGCGCAAATGCTGTCAAAGAATGACATTTCTGGGAAAACGTCAACTTTGTGCTGAAATTTGAAAGCGTCAAAGGCTATACTTTGTTAAGCGATTGTAGAAAAAAGGAATTACGGACAATCTGAGGTCAGGAAGTGGTAGGGGGTGAGTTTTAAAGGGTGGCAAATGGTTTATCTCGATCTATACCTCGATTTCCGGCAAAACTACAAGCACTATAAAAAAGGTGAATGGCAAAGCTGAAACCGCTGTACTTTATATATGGATATTAAAAATGAATAAACCATGGCAATGCCTATAGTAATAAAAATTATAAGTGACCAAGGTAATTCGTCGTGTTAGTGACTTATATGGTAAAATGAGGAAAGAAAATATTTGTGCGAAGTACTTCCAACCTAACTTGTCCTAAATGATTTTTTCCCTGAGAAGTATATTTTTGAAAAATCAATTGCGTGAAGAACATTTTAAAAAAATTCACGCCTAGCAGGGATTGAACACCAGTCACCAACGTGGAACTCGTGAAAGTCAGATACACAGGCCACTAAGCTATCGCTTTACTTCTTAGTAGTTGTAGTTTCTCAATATAAAGAAGGAAGAAATATCATGTGTTGTGGGTGACGTCAATTGTCAATTGACCTCGATGATTGAATGATTCGCTTGTCTAAGTTAGTAGAAGATATCATTATGAAGTTACCTAAGGTCATGTGTCAATTATTTGTCATTTGCCTTTTGTCATTTCTTCCGCTCGTATTAATGGTTGCATGAACATATTATGTTCTGCTGCATGATTGCTGCATGTATAAATAATTTATTCACGGACGTCAAAATAGCTTCTAGAGGTCAGGCAACCCACAATGCATTTATCGTCGCGCTTTTTTGCCGCGCTAGAGGCGACGCGAGCTCAATATCATATTTTTTCATCCGACAAACAAAGGTGCTGCGAGGCAGAAATATGATGCTAACACAATTTTGCCTGTATGATGATGTAAGTATATTATATGTAAAGCGAGTGTATTGAAATGGACATTTCATCACCAGTTATGTAATATTTTACCTCACACGCAACTGGTTACGACGTCTTAAAACTTTCGTCAAGTTGTTTCTTGGGAATAATGAAGTAGGTGATTGACTGATTGATTGATATTCACCTTATCAAGGACGAAAACTCTTATGATGTTCCTCATGAGCAGCATAAAAGCATCTTTGGCACTGGCGCAGAAATTTTTGCCGTGAACCGCGCACATTATGTAGGCATTCTTGTTGATGAACTTGAGGAATTTCTCCAGGCAATAGAAGAAGCACTTCAGGAGACACATGATGGCCTTGGTCAGTTCGTTGTCGTACTTTTTCAATTTCTGATCGATGTATTCCAGCACCACCCTTATCATCCGGCAGATGGCTATGATCAGGGAGCCGAATGCTAGAGTACCGATGTGATATCTGGAAAAAATACAGAGGGATTCAGTTTCTCTAGGAACCCAGCAAACATTGAACTAGCGGGAGAAGTCCGGCCTAGTGCAGGTTAGTCTGGGAAAGTGACGATGCCGGGGTATAGGTAATGGGCCGATGATTTTCCCATGCCAAGTAACCATCAGTTTAAAATACGATGATGGCCTTGTGATGGTAAGATGTCTGGAACTAATTGAATACTAACGAGATCTGGCACTTTGCTGGCCAATTTCATATTCACTACCCGTCCTCCTGGCGGATTTTTTGAGAACGTCTACATCAACAATCAGCTGATCAATATCATATGTGACTAAGATGGCTGACTCTCGCGAGTGGTGATCGCGTACTATAGTTTGTTTATGTCGAATTAATGTGGTCCTCTCTTTCCGTGGTGGTTATTTATGATGGCAGAAGTATTCCCAATTGATAATAATAGAAGACAGAGTCTTCAATTATGATAATATTGAGTAAGTATCAATGTACCTACATAGTGTTTTGAATGTCATTATTTGATGCATGTGTTTGGTATCTCGTAACCTCATATACCTAATGATTATGATAATTGGAGTTAACTATACTTCTCTAAAAGCAACCATCATTTTCAACTCGTTTGTTGCTATCAAAAGCAAACTTAGGTTATGTGAACCTATCTATATATTGAATAACTGAATAACAATAAGATTTCAGCTACAGAATTACCTGTGCCAACACCATAATGAGAATTGAAAAGTTCCATGTTATCACGTCATTTGACTATATTATCAAGTTATAAACTCATGCAACTCATATACCACTAATATAAAACGAATGATGCATTTTATATTTCAGAAGTACCTCACAACGAAGAATCAACTTCGAAGGAATGCTACCCAATAAGATGTAGATACCACACACCAACCAGTAAGCAGTCACTCCGAGAAGTTTCATCGTTGAAGAACAGAGAGGTTAAGAAGATATCATTGTGTCATTCATAAAATTGTTTTCTTGAAATCTGGTATGTGTCTGATTTATGATGAGAGGGTTATGTTGTGAAATAAAGAGGTAGGTACTAGAAATTTCAGATCCATTGGACCCCTAAAACCCCTACCCCTCCCCTACCTCGATAGTATGTAACCAATGTCGTTAATTGGCCATTACAGTCCCATCATTTATGTATATGCTGGGCTTGCTATGGGAAACTCAATGTGTCGATTATGTTGTACTGGCCTTTTGCCGGGGAACTGAATATGATTGCTGGGTACCCAGCACTGGGACCAGCTGCCGGCCGCAGTGTACTGATATATAGAGTCCCGAATATGGGACCATTTACTGGGCCGCTGATGTCAGGTATGGGAAAAATATACTCTAGGCTATCGATGCCCCATATCAAGATGTTTGCTGGGAAGGACTAAAGTGGAAGATAGATCCTTGTAAAAAATATTGGGGACGTTCTTTATATTTATTCAGGTATATTTATAGCAGAACGAAGGGTTCGACAGGAAACTACAGAAAGTTATCAATGTGAAATTTGGAATTTGGACGTTTTCAAGTGTGGATTTATACAGCATAAACAAAAATTAACCAATTATCAAGTTACAATTACCAATTGAGAGTTGAACTTGCTATTTTTAATCACTGTGTTGATGCAAATTGGTCAACTTTCAACTTCTGACATTATCATATATTGAACCAGGTCCATCCTATTATGGAAACTAAACTCAAAAAATGTCCTGATTCGGTTTTTCTTTTTACTTTTTATTATTTCTATTTTTTTCGAGTCTTGACCCCACTTGTGATAGTAATATCTCAAGAATGTGTCTAGAATATTATGAAAAAAAAAAGTTTATGGTTATCTTGAATGACTTGGGAAGGCGCCTGTGTGTTTGTTATTTTTAACAATCTAACCTGTCAATTTGATTATGAAAAATTGCGAACTTAGAGGTTCTTTAGTAATCTACGAAACCACGAAGTGGAATGGAAGATGAAAAGCACTTGCAGTTTTCTCGGAGACGGTTTTATTGCCTTAAACTGACAGTATATACAGGATGTATATGTGGGACCCACTTCGAGAGGTAATAGGGCGTCTCAAGAAAATTAAAAAGTTCCCATAAACGGAACTGGTAGAAGGCGTCGTTTGCGAGATACAGGGTATTTTTTTTTTTTTTTTTTTTTTTTTGCCGAGGTGGTTGAAATCTTTTATAGACATCATATGGGTCCAATCCCCCATATGATAGTGTGTGAGTCCCCTCCATGGTATACCCACTAAACACTCCACCCCGTTGTAGGCTTCGACGACACTTAGGCCTAGTGGCCCATTGTATCTCACCTACATGCCGTTATCAATTTTACCACATACGACTCATGGTGCCTATTAAGGGAAACTTCAATATGGAAGACCCTTTTCGTTCAGGTTCCTGAAGATTGCTCTTCCGATCCCTGTTCTCGTCTACGAAGAAGGCCAAAAGTTTTCCTTCTCCTACGAGTGACGGGGGAAGGGGTTGGTCCAGCCCTGTGGTGCCCCCTGCACAGGGCTAAGGCTGTTTACTCTGGGATGTCGCCCTGTTTCCCAGAGGCCCCGTTAGCGACACCATTCCTCGGTGCCATCCATCCATCGCCACGGGTTCCCACAGCTTGGATTAGGTTGCCAGAGCCTCGTTGACCAGACCTCGACCACCTAGACAAACATCAGCAAATCGCCCCATCCCTGCCACAGATGTCCACAAATTGTCCCATCTGGCAGAAGATAGCAAAGATGGTCCCAAAATGCTTCATCCGCCAAGCGGCCGCGGCCTGCCTTCCCCACACCACTTGATGGTGAGGTTGGGATTGAAGGGGAAGAGGAAAAGAGAAGTTGGCCAAGAAAGGCCGATAGACAGATTGAAAACGGAAGAGTGAAGAGGATATCACCCAAGACAAGTTGAAGTATGGTGAATATCCGGCTAGGGTACCTCGGGTTCACCATTCCCGTACTCACAAGAGTGAAAAATTGCGAACTTAGAGGTTCTTTAGTAATCTACGAAACCACGAAGTGGAATGGAAGATGAAAAGCACTTGCAGTTTTCTCGGAGACGGTTTTATTGCCTTAAACTGACAGTATATACAGGATGTTTCGTGATATGTGGGACCCACTTCGAGAGGTAATAGGGCGTCTCAAGAAAATTGAAAAGTTCCCATAAACAGAACTGGTAGTAGGCGTCGTTTGCGAGATACAGGGTATTGAAGTTGAAAAAAAAATTTCATTGAGTTTCTAGATAACCGCTCAACAAAAATTCTTGATATTCTGGTGCATCTCAGTAACTGAGAGTGGTTGAATGAGTGGCATTATTTTTAGTCAATCTGACTCCCAGTGGCACCGTTGAGGGGTATTAATTGATGTGTGATTTTTCAGAAAAAACATGGGTGGCGATGAAACTTTTCGATATTCTATTCGAAAATATGAAAGAGGATGCAATTTTGAAGAAAAAAGCACCAACAGTTGAAACTCTCAAAGATACTTGCGAAAAAACCGAATAACCAAATTCAACTCCGAAATTTGATCTGGTCTGTTCAGATAACTCTATAACCATGATAGATATCATTCTGTAGTTGTGGCACTATGCCAGCCACATAACAGACTAAATTTTGCCACCACAATAAGCCATACAGGGTGGACACAAAATAATTCTATAAATATTTTCAACTTGAACACCCTGTATCACGCAAACGAAGCCTTCTACGACTTTTGTACATGGAAACATTTTTATTTCCTTGAGACGCCCTATAACCTCTCGAAGTGCGTCTCACATATCACGAAAGTAATTTTATAAAAAGTTATATGGAATGTTGAACTTTTTTCCCGTCACAGAAAAAAATTAAGTTTGCTGATATTTCGTCAGCTCAATGGAAGTATTTCCAAGAACTTATAACCTCCAAAAATTAAAATGAAAACATTCAACATCTCAATAAATATCCTCTCTAGTTTCGCAGGATGTTCCACGAACATTATAGGGATTTCCTTTCGAGCGCTCAAAGAGATAAAACAAACTCATATCATTTCGAAATCAGAAAAGAAAGCTTTCTCTAAATATGCGATAATATTCAGGAAGTCCCATTTGAAAAAATCAAGCGGAAAAATACATTTTCCAAATTTAGAATATCTTCTTTCGTTTTCGTGATATCAGCTTTTGAAGTCGTGAAGTTAATAGTCAATCACTCTATAGTACATTTTTTTTTATGTTCTGCTTCCCACGAAAAAGGGATATCCTCTGTAATGTTCAGAGAACATCGTGGGAACCAAGGGAAATAAGGTAGGAATTGGTGTTCTTCTCAAAAATTTCCGTAGGTTATATGCATCGAGAAACATCTCGCTTGGCAATGTGTTCCAGACCCTCGCTGTTCGTTGGATGAACGAGTCTTTGGAAAGAGATGTTCTGCAGGTCTCCAAAGTGACCACGAAGGGGTGCGAAGCCTCAACTCGACGGGTTAATCTCGCGGGGACTGCCAAGGGAGGTACAATTGTTGATATTTCAGAAGAGCGTCCATGAAAATAACTATAAAATAGAGCCAGATCGCCAACTTTTCTACGGTGTTGCAGAGAAGTGAGTGAGTTTGTGAGCGAGGCATCACCCACGAGACGAATTGCCCTTTTTGGACAGAATACAACAGTTTCAGGGTATGTTTGTGTGCCGCACTCCAAATATGGGAACAGTATTCCAGGACAGGTCGGATCTGTGCCTTATAGATCATAAGCAGCTGACTGGAAGTAAAATAGCTCCTGGCTCGAAACAGAAAATTTTTGGGATGCACTTTTAGCAATTGATCTCACGTAATTTTCCCAAGAAAGGTTATTGCTGATAGTAATACCAAGCATCGAAATGGATGTCTTCAAAGGTATGGTTGTTACGCCTGACATGCTTATGTTTGGCATAGTGAGATCGGCTTTTCTAGAGAAAAGGCATGCTTGTGTTTTGTTTGCATTGAAATCTACCAAGTTATTGGATCCCCATTCGAGATTTCTTGCCAGGTCCATATTTATGTTGTCAACATTTCTTCCTCGTTCGTTTCTGATTTGCCTGGCTGGTATTGGAGCCCTGGAAGAGAAGGCGATATGGAGGGTACAATCATCCGAGAAGCTGTGTACTGGACATGAAGTTGCTCCCAACAAATCGTTGATATGGAGTAGAAATAGTGTTGGTGCTAGAATTGATCCTTGCGGGACACCAGCATTTATGGTAAGAGAGTCAGATGAAACTCTGTCGACCACTATATGGAGAGACCTGTTTGAGAGAAAACTAGCTAGCAGAGAACATAGCTGGGGAGGCAAGCCATAAGAAGCAGGAAGCTTGGCGAGGAGCCCGTGGTGCCAGACTCGATCGAATGCTTTGGAGATATCAAGTGCCACGGTTAAGGTTTCACCATATTTTTCAATAGATTGCTGTCATATATGTGAGACGTAAGCGAGCAGGTCACCAGTTGATCTCTGATGTCGGAAGCCATATTGCCTATCGATGATAATACCTGAATGTTCCAGGTATTTCATGAGCTCGATGTTGATAGCTTTCTCCATGATCTTTGAAATAATAGATAGCAGTGCGATCGGTCTGTAGTTGCTAGGTAGGGTCTTTGTGCCTCTTTTAGGAACTGGTTGTACTCTTGCAATTTTCCAGTTGGACGGGAATATCCCCAAATTATAAGATTAGTTGAACAACTAGCAGAGAACTGGTGTTAGTTCGGGAGCACATGCTGTGAATTATCCAAAAAAAGTTTTCAAGGTAAATTTCAGATTATGATCTAGATAACGAACAATGGTGTGAAATGTGGATGTTTCTAGTGGTGCTAAGTATTTGTTTCTCATTGAAATTGACTCTCAGCGATAGACATCATAGTATTCGTCCATCTATGTAACTCGAAAATTACACTTTCGCTTGCTTTCGCTACAAAAGTGATAGATTTGACCCACTCATCAGTACAGGCTATCATAATTCATCGAAAAAATCTCTTCTATTTTCCCCAGTATTCGAATACAGTGCAGACTCGATAATCCGAACTAATAAAAACCAAGGCGATTCGGATTATCAAAAAATTCGGATTACCGAAGCAGTTTTTTTTTAAATTTTTTATTATGAAATGCAAAAAAAAACAGAAATACGAAAAAGTAACACTAAAATATGCATAAAAGTAAGAATTATACTATTTTCTGAAGTAATTTGTGATTTTTGTTTGCTTAACACATCTTTGATTATTTATAAAGGCCATTTCTCTTAATCTTTGAAGTACAAGAATATCATTCAACGGAATATTATTTTCTTCGGCCCATTTCAAACACAGATTATAACTTTTAGCTGCTTCAGCGTTCTTAACAGTTTTGTTTGGATTATCTAATAATTCCTCATGGTCGCTAACTTCAGGTTCATCTTCATCTGCTTCTTCTAACGGTAACAAATCTTCATTATTTTCCACCCAATTACATATTTCCACGTTTGTAAGATTTGGCTCTGCCAAAACATAAGCATTTTTTTATTTAAACAAATATTATCACCAAGCAAAGTAAATATCACAGCTCAACAACGTACTAAAACGGTGAAAAACCTAACCACACTGTGAATCCCAGATACTAACAAAAGAACAATTAGGAGAATCCCTGAACATTTCACTCACAATTTCTATAGGAAATAAATAGGCCTGAAGGTATAGGTTCGGATTATCGAGTACTATGAAATTCGGATTATAGAGTACTCAATGTATTAAAAATGCTTGTTCGGACTACTGAAGAATTCGGATTGTTGAACGTTCGGATTATCGAGTCTGTACTGTATTCCAATTGTTTAAAAAACCATATAAATTCATAAACACTAATTCGGACATCAGAAAACAGTAGCTTTACCTGAGTGCCCTGAAGAAAGCAGATGTGACAGAGAAAAACGGTAGATTCTTTTTGTGGAAAGTCCAATACCACTGGGCAAAAATACCGGCCAATACCATCTGGCCAAGAGCCGTCACGAAAAATGCCAACCAGAAGAATCCGAATACATTGTACACTAAAAAAAAATAGCGTTAGTATAATTATATGATGTACAGGGTGGCCAACTAAGATTCCAGAGTTCGATTTCTCTGTTGTCTTGAGAGATACAAAAAAAAATCATGTATCAAAATTGAAGTAATAACCGAGCTCAACATTTCAAAATTTCTTTGAAATACACAGGGTGTTCCGTAAGGTCACAGCACATCGAAGCTATGTTTTTGTATCGGAACATCCTACATTTCATTTCATTTTTGAATTCTCCCTGAAGATCTGATTTCATCGACCCGTCATACTTAAGGTCTAGCAGTGAAAGTTACTGATATATAGGGTGTGCAAAATCGAGATTTTCCAAGTTCAGAATTCTTTGCTGTCGAAACTGTTCATTATTCGTCAAAACGGTTTACATGTCCCTATCTCAACTTTCCTTTCACTATCAATTGTTGTTCAATTGAAATTGATACAAGGTGGTCAAAAATCCTTAATTTATAATTTGTTTTAATTAAATGTCAATTGAACACCAATTGATAGTGAGTGAAAAGTTGAGATAGGGACATGTAAACCGTTTTGACGAATAATGAACAGTTTCGACAGAAAAAAATCCTGAACTTGGAAAATCTCGATTTTGCACACCCAATATGTCAGTAACATCACTGCTAGACCCTGGGTATGATGTTTTTTGAGATAGTTTTTGGTATTTTGTAAACATTTAGTAGGCACACACCATGAGTGGAGTTTCTTACTTCTACCAGTGATTTTCACGTAGGCCAGATATTGAATGTTTTGATAAAAAAAAGCCTCTGATTTTAACACCCTGTTGCTCAAAAACTTTTCTGCTCACCTTGCATATAGGGATACAGGGCATCACTATCAAGTTTTATAAATTTGCAAGTAGCGTCTATACAAGAACTTCTAGTTTCTTCTTCTTCTAGGCTTGTAGTTTGATTTAGAAAAGCTTCTGGATCGCATTTTGTGTTGTTCTAAAACAAGAAACAAAAATCAGGTATCTATTCTATCTATTTCCATGTGATTCAAAAGGATAATATGTTTCGACCATGGAAATTCCTGTGGATATACAGGGTGGCATTGAAATGAGTGCAAATATTTCAAACACTGAGGAAGCTCGACGTGGGATCAAAATAAAATTTGAGGTTAGACCCCTTTTTTCACCCTAAGTTCTACACTGTAGCAAATCAGACTGACGTCACCTCTGTTCAAATTTTCATGCGGTATAGGCACAATCACGAGGAGTGCAATCATTTGAATTGTTTTATAGAGGCGTACTTGATTTTTTTCTGGTATTTTGTTGAATTTTTGGGAAAAATTTTCTCGTTAATTAGAAGAATTAGAAGAAATCTGATATCATTGGAATATTAATTCCTTAGACTCTATCATATTGATGGGCTGAATATGTGCACTTATTTCAATAACACCTTGTATATTAATCGATGACAGTGTTGCAATCACTGACGGAAAGTGGGTATATAATCACTTCCCCCCTCAAGTCTCGTCGGAATATTATTGATAGTCACCATTTGTTTTATTTCATATCCCTATTGGCGACAGTGGCGGATTATAGGACAGGCGAAAGAGGGGCGCCAAACCAAGCGCAGTTCTTCAGTTCAATTTCAAGAGAGCTTTCCCCCCCCCCACTTTCTACAAAAAGATTATTTCACTCACATTCTTCCATTAGACGTTTCTGGAGAACGCAACGTAGGATTATACTGAAAATTTGTTTTCCTGGATAATTAGTTGTGTTCTATCCACCTAAAAAATTCTCAACACTGCGACGTTGGCGCTTATATTGAAAAGTAGCAACATCTTTGATTTTTTGAATGGGACACCCTAATATATATCGTTCCATTTTCAGATTCTCCCTGAAGAGCTGATTTCATCGATCTATTACATTATTTTTTTCATGTTTTTAACTATATCTGAGAATATTCCTTTTCAAGAATTTCTTGTTTCGAAACTATTCATATAATTAGTCAAAACGGTTTTTATGTCCCTATCTCAACTTTTTATGTACTATCAATGGATATTCAATTGAAATAAATACAGGGTGATCAAAAATCTCAATTCTGAATTCAATTGATATTTGATTGAAATACATACAAGGTGGTCAAAAATCTTAATTCTGCAACCCCCCTGTACCTATTTCAATAAAATATCAATTGATAGAAAATAAAAAGTTGAGATAGGGACATAGATAAAACCGTTTTGACCAATTATGAATAGTTTCGACACAAAAAAACCTTGAAGTTGAAAATCTCGATTTTTCACACCCTATATATCTGTAATTGTCACTGCTAGACCCCAAGTGTATTGGGACAATGAAATCAGCTCTTCAGGGAGAATCTGAGAATGGAATAATATATAGGGTGTCCTATTTGAAATATCAAAGTTGTTGCTACTTTTCTATATAAGCGGCAACGTCGCAACGCTGAGAATATTTTAGGTCGATAGAACACAACTAATTATTATCCGAGGCATCAAATTTTCAGAATAATAAGTTACGTTCTCCAGAAACGTCTACTGTGCTAGTAGACGTTGATGTTCGAATAAGTCGAGCTGCCCTCTCCGGAATCGTATGCAAATGTCGGGAAACTGATTAATGGGTCCGAATTCATTGTTGCGCCAAAGGGCATACATTCTTAGATCATCGACTATACTTCATTGCCAAGCTTCTTCTTAAACTAAATTTTGAAAATTTTTCCAACAGAATGGTGAGGTCAGGGCCGGGGCAAGGACTGGGTGCGACTCTCCGAGGCACTTCTTCCTGTTAACTTGGACTAAGTGAGTGGGTCCCTTAAATGGCATACCGACTTAGAACATCGATAAACCCTGTGTCGCGGGCCAACAGTCTATAAGGAAGCCTTGTTTCGAAAATGTAAAAATTGTGATAGACCGATGAATAACATGTTTCGTGTTATGAGTGGTGGTTGTTGATTCGTATACGACAAAAAAATTGGAGTGAATCAGGGAATCTCTGAATTATTTTGGTAAATTGAACAAATGAGTCAGTATCCCTTGCTCCCAACACATTTTGGAAACATCTACTTGTTCGGGGTAGCCTATAGACACTATCTAAAATACTGTTACGTTATTCGGGTGCAGAAGCGAACACTCGCTGCTCGACTGACTGACGGCAGTTGTTCGGCCGTTTATATATGAGATCCCTTGGAAGGCTTTGGTTCGAGAACGTTCTCGAATGATCTTCCGACTCCATCTTTTTGTTCTAGAAGCTTCTTAGAACAAAACCTCTCTATCTAATTGTTCCATCGATTGTTTCCAGAACATTCCAGAATCTTCTGTCACGTTATTTGTCACTGCGGCATATATTGAGTGTTCGAGGATGAGTTGGTCCCGAGGTTGGCCCTGACTTTTATCGTTGTACTCCTGTCTTACAGATGATGTTTCTAGAGCCCCTCTAAGGGAAATATCATTACAATACATTTTACTCGCTTTTTCTATTGCTCCTATATTTTCAGATCATTATATAAGTATCAATTGTAACAAACAGAGAACATGGAACTGAAATATTTATGATACAAGAATGTGATGCAGTTGTTGTCAGTCTTGAAAAAATCTAGTATTCAATTTGAAGGCTTTTGACCTTGATTCCCAACAAAAAATTTTCGACTGCGGGACATTTCTACCGTACAAAATTTCAGTCTGAGTGTCTTATTCCTGGTATACATTGAAATGGAGTTGATGTTGTCACTTTGGAATAAATTCAATTTTCAATTTGAACGCATTTGACCTTGAACTTCAAGAAAATTTCGCCTGCGGCGCTTCAATTAAGCAAGCAGTTTGTCTGGGTTTGACGCACCTGATATTGTCCTTTGTCTCCACCAAGAAGGGGGCGCTGAATGAAATTGCGCCTCAGTCTGTGAAACGTCACTGATTGGCGATAATTCGTGGTGTACTATTTTTTATTACTTTTCTTAACCAGTTCCATGGATCCGCCACTGGTTGCAATTCGAACCCAGCGAGCACAAACATCCCTGGGATGTTTTGTGATGTTTTGAAAATGTTGGCATGTAGATGTTATTTTGAGACGTAATATGCACTGACCAAAGAGGTCTTTGAAGGATATTGAGGTATTGTTTTTGTTCTTCTGTGGCATTTCTTTGCTTGCCTACTGAGAGGTTTCCCTGGGATGTTTTGGGATGTTTCAGAAATGTAGGCATGAGGATGTTTTTTTGAGGCGTAATATGCACTTCCCAAAGAGGTCTTGGAAGGATATTGAAAGTATTGTTTTTGTTCTTTTGTGCCCTTTCTTTGTTCGCCCCACCACAACGTCTCATGCTTACGTCACAATACGATGAATTCTGATTTGTTTTCGATTTTGTTCTTCTTGTTCGCAATTGGCATTCGCGTTTGCAGCGTGTCACGCTTACATCACGCTGTTAACGAACATAAAGGAATTTGGTGAAGTTTATTGTGTTGGAAGACTTATTTAGTTTGTAATAATGTATCAGATGCAAGATGTGTTGTTCGGTGCCTCAGTGTAATCAATATATAAAAGTACGAATTCATCAATACACAGCTTCTCCGCAGTTGCAAAATTATGCATTGTGGAGAACATATCAAAAATTGGGAAACCTATTTCCAATTATATGTCTGTGTGTAGTAAGCACTACTCGCAGAAACCGATTAAGAAGGTAATTTCATATCAAGAAAATATTTTCATGTTCAATTTATTTTTAATGCATGTTTTCATTCAAGGGAAATGGAATCCTAATGCAAAAGTTCATTTTGACAAAAGGCTTCAGAAAAGTACCTCGCACATGTTTTTTTACAGCGATTTAATGTGCGCAAGACGCGTTGAAAATGATCTGTTGTGTCCATGAAAAGGCTTTAAAAAGAACTAGGGAGAAGGTAGTTTTGTGACATATCAAGGACATCTCGATAATTGCCGCCTGCGGTGGACATTGGCTGTTCTATAATAGTTCTATTCATGTGTGAACAGAACATCGCAGTGGAGGTTCAATGTCTCGAAATCTCGTACTTTCAACATCTCTGAGATGCTTTTGTGCTCGCTGGGAATGATATTCAGAAAGTGTACCTGTTTTAACGTTTTCAATTTGCTTACCAGGATTCCTGTATTTTGATGACACTGATCTGTGACATCCCTCGTAGCATAAAGTGGTTTGCCGATACTAGAAAGATAAATAGCCACGGCAATCGCATAAGCTATCACCCCCAATTGTAGGATCCAAGGAAAAATCGGGAAGAATAACGAAGCAGTGACTGAACTCACCGCCCTAAAAAGAAATTCGAATTGTAAAAGACAGTTATCAAAATTTTCTTCAACCGCCGTCAAAATGATTATTTTCAATATCAAAAAGTACTTCTAATTCTAGGAACTGAAAGTGTTACAACGGGCTATATGTTATCAAACGCAGCGCTCGACAAAATAGCGAGCGAACGAAATTTTTAAAATTTCGATTGATCAGCGCGACAAGATTTTATGATCATATAAATGTTATATAAAAATGAGGTTTTGAGTTGATAGTTAAAATTTGATAGGAAAATTTCATTTTCTTCTTTTTAGAGCGTTTTAATAAACGCCTTTTTTGAAAGTTTTTTTTTATAATAGTTTTATAATAGTTATCTATACAAATATTATAAAGAGGAAAGATTTGATTGTTTGTATGTATTGAATAGGCTTCGAAACTACTTTCCATCCCGGTACCATTAGGAAATTCAAGATAGCGGATCTAATATATCGAACGAGTTTTGTATTTATGGTCTGGGGGTTTTCGGGGTCGGAGATTGTTTGCGACTAGCAACTAGATGCGCTACTGCTCAGTGGAATGTGCTTAGATCAGAGCCTATGACAGACATGTGTGAAGACTGGCTCATATAGTGTTTGGCATGGAGCCGAATTAAGAGCAAGTGTATAGCCTTTGTCCACGTCATTTGTGCTCGTGTTTATTGAATTGTGATCATGATATAACAGAGATTATGATTCTTTCGTCAGAATTTGAAAATTTGGGCGGAATTTGGAAATTCAAGATGGCGGACGAGTTTTGTAATTATAATCTGATTCTTTTCCAAATTGGTACCTTGGGGTTTTCATGATTGGGGATTCCTTTGTCGAAATTGAGAAATTCAAGATGGCGGATCCAGAATGGTGGATTTTGTAATTAGGATCCGATTTTATTCAAATTTGGTATCTGGTGGTTCTCGAGGTCGGAGATTATGATTCTTTCGTCAACATTAGAAAATTCAAGATGGCGGACCAAATATGTCAAAATTGATATCTTGGTGTTTTGAGGGTCCGAGATTATGATTCTTTCGTCAAAATTTGGAAAGGGCGGGATTTGGAAATTCAAGACGGTGGAACCAATATACTTACCGGACGAGTTTTGTAATTATATATATCGATTCTATTCAAAATTTGTGAGTGGGCGTTTTCGGGATCAAAAATTATGATTCTTTCGTCAAAATTAGGGAATTCAAGATGGTATAGATCCAATATCGCGGACGAGTTTTATGTTCCGATTCTATTCAACATTTTCATCTGGGGTTTTAGTTTAGTTTTAGTCGGATATTATGATTCTTTTGTCAAAATTGGGAAATTCAAGTTAACTAAAAAGAGGTTGAAATAAATGGTATTTTAAAAAACTAAAAAAAAAAACACGCTTTTATAGATAGCGAAACTAAAAAGAAGTTGAAAATAAAATGATAATAGTGTCTTGATGAATATTGGAATGAAAAAATATATTATAGTAATGATGTATACATATAGCAAAACAACGTTTGCGAGGTCTGCTAGTTTATTATACAAGGGAAAAAATAAGTAGATCTAGCTCCAGATTGTGTTGTCCCGACGCGAAGCGGAGGGAGTCAAAAAAGTGTGAGCGAAAATCTGATATTTTTTCCGTGTGTAAGACACTATTTTTTTCTGTGACAGGGAAAAGAACGAATCTACATTGAGAAGATATTACATTATATTAAAATCAGAAAATTATCGATACCACATTAACAGGCATGACACCTGCGCTGCAGGCATCCTTATCATTCTTGTGCAGTAATCAAATATCTGTCCGTCTAATTCTGTGATTTGATAAGATTGCGAATTTAGTTGTTTAGTAATTTACGTAACCGCGAAGTCGAATGGAAGATAAAAGGATTTGCAGTTCTTTCTAGGATATAGTATTATTGACTAATTTTTCGGAACTATAGCACAAAAGCCATCAACAGTATATACAGGGTGATTCAGGTTTTAAGGCACAAACTGAAATGGGAGATAGATCTCATCATTTTAATCAAAAAAGTTTATATAAACATTAGTCCGATCTCGTTCAGTAACGGAGCTACAGGGGGTCAAAATTTAATTATTTTTTTTCTATTAATTGAAATATCTCGCTTACTTTTCATGATATCATTTTGAAATTTGGTGTGGTCAATACTTCCTAGAAAATCATCATTTCGAGCATTTTGAAGATTTTCAAAATCTACAGGGTGATACGTTTTTGGAGGTAGAGGCTTCTTTATCCCCTTCAAACTTTTTCGTAGTACGCCTCTGGCATCTTTCAGTGATAAAATTGTGTGGATCGTTCAATTTAGAGGCTTTTTTTGCCTCTCGATTTTTTTCGAGAAACGAACTGTTTTTGAGATAAATAAGCATATACGTTAGAAAACATGTTAATTTTGCTTATGTTCCGCCTGCTCCGCTACTGAACGAGATCGGAGTAATGTTTATGTGCACTTTTTTGATTAAGAGGATGAGATCTATCTCCCATTTCAGTTTGTGCCTTAAAACCTGAATCACCCTGTATATCTGGAAAAAAAGTACTCACTTTTTTCTCCTGTGAAAAAAGTAATTTATGAAAAGTGACATTTTATAACCTGTCAACAGAGATGAAATTTCCAACTTTTTTCCCGTCACACAAAAAAAAATAATTATTTTTATTATTATTGGTTTAGACTTACTTGCTTCCTTCCTTGATCAAAGCTATGGCCAATGCGATTCTCTTCCTCAAAAATATCAGCATGAGCAATATGATCGTCGTTACTATGGCCAAAATGATTAAACCTGCTAACCACAAATCTCGTTTGGTTTTTAGATGCGATTTTGATTCTTCGTCGAATTCGGTGACATTATTGTACCTTTCTTTGGCTTTTGTGTATTCCATTGAGGTGAAATATAATCCTGAAAATACGAACTTTTGTAGGGTACTCATCTAGGGAATTTCAAGTTTTCAAATCATACAAGGTGTTCCTTGAATATACCGGGTATCCCAGAGCTTTCATGCCATCAGATATCTGGGTTAATGTCCAAATACAAAAATTCTCAAAACAATTTTGAAATTAATCATGAGAGCAGAAGCTCTCGAGAATGGTCAGATCGAATCACAATTGTGTCGAACAAACTACTGAAAACCACCCCTTCAAATTGCACCCCTATGTTTTTTTCCATTCATCTTACTGAACCTTGACTTATACGGGTGAGTTAAAAATGTGTACCGAGCTGTTCCGGGAAGGAAGTGATAGAACGTTGAAAAATAAGTATATTTTGATAAATAAAATAATGGCCTGAAATGTGTAGTAAGGGAGATACCAATATCCTTCCAAAGTTGATTGAATTAATAGTATATTATTATGAAACAAGTGTTATAAACGTCCTTTTAGTAACGAGTATTTTAAGCACGAGCGGAGCGAGTGTTTAATAAACGAGTGTCTAGAAGAGTTTATAAACGCGTTACATACTATGCTTTTTCTACGAACTCCGAAAATAACATTAACATACCTGCTATTCCTGCTAACCTACAAAATAATTCGAATGGAATGGGAAGTGATATTGGTTGTAGATGTGTCCAGTCCATTGCTTACTAACCTTTGTTTCACGTTTATTGTCATGCTCAGAGCAGAATAAATAAATTGTTCTCAAAGATGGATGCTTCATTTTTACACTTCTTGGAGATATACAAGTACCAAAACATTCTCTTCGATTTCACTTTTGTCTACATTTCGCATATATTTTTAATAAAGAATTCTGATACAGACGAAAATTGTTTGTATAATTCTGATACAAAATTCGGAAATGACAGTTGACAGTTCCTACAATTGATAGGCCAGACATGTCTCAAATTAAACTGAAGTTGTGTTTAATGAACTGTGTTGCCATATGGTAATGTGTTTAAGAAATCGTGTTGCCATGGTAACGTGTTTAATATTTTGAATAAATTACAGATCGTCAATCCGTGATTAATCGATCATTTAGCGTGGTACATATCCGTACGCTAAATGCTATTTTAGTTATCGCCCATGAAATGTCAAATTTCTAGCAATGACAGCTCTGTCTAATAGATGAGCATTACTTGACAGGAAATCAGATGGCTACAAGACGAAGAAATCGAAAAAGCCTCTGTTATCTATTATAGCCGTAGAAAAATTATAGTGTATAACTTGCACGGAATGCTAATTTCCTACTCGAATGATTGCAGCATTCGCCTATTGCTCATGCTGCAAACTTCATTCTCGTAGGAAATCACTATCATTCCATGCTCGTTAAACAATATACTACTTTCTACAAACACTTAACAAAGTAGCCTTTGACGCTTTCAAATTCCAGCACAAAGTTGACGTTTTCCCAGAAATGTCATTCTTTGACAGCATTTGCGTTCGTGAGCGGAAATATTGAATGAAAAAACGCTCGCACATCTCTGTAACCTATACTTATCTATTCTTGAAAACCCCCAATTCTTTCGATGGAAAATAGTGACAGTGAATCATCAAACACACCTCCTGATATAGCAGAAAGCGCAAGAGTTTGAATCTCTTACCGGAGAAATCAAAGAAGAAATATGAATTACAATATGATACATTAAATTGGTGCCACTCCGAGATGGTGAATATGTATTCAGAAAACGTTTTACTGGCTTATTTTGGTAAAAAATCAAAGACTTTATATATATTCGATGGTACGTATACATGCTTGAATGTTAAAGATAATATCGGAATCACTAAGTATCTGATACTTATTGCATTTGTCAAGAAACAATCTATTGGATATAAAGCGAGAAATATCCAAAACATTCACCGCTGAAGATATATACCAACAAATTTCTACAAGAAGCTCCCGATGAAGCATATCTGTTGAAAACGATGAATTATACTTTATATTTAAACTCTTTGTTGTCATCAGGAAGACAGTGTATCTTTATTTTATTGCATCTAGTAATGTTCAATTTGATTGCAGAGTTTATCGTACTATGGCTCAGAGGTCTGAAGCTCAGGTTGCCACGCTCTTGGTCCAGTTTCAATTCTCGGTAGGCCCGACATTTTTTTCTGGCTTGTCAGTTATTTCAATTTTTCTTTTCTGGTTTCCTTTGGACATATGGGATAATATGGATAAGAACTTTTTCAACTATTTCAATCGCTCATACTTTCAGGGTAGTTATTTCCAAAAGCTGCGTTGGTAGAAAAAATCTTGTGTGTATTTCGAGCACAAAGTTTTATTGCCGCTCTCCAAAGATTACCGCGCTCCGCCCCGCATCGCGCGGTAACTTTCTTAGTCGAGCGGCAATCTATCACTTTGCGCTCTAAATACACAAATAGCTATTTCTGATTCACTTCTACATTTCTGCTATATGAAGGGTGTTTGTCCCTGTATTATTCTCGATGAAAAAACGAAAGCATTTGATAAAGCGAAGAAAATTACATAAAAAGGTACTCTTATCAAATTACGAAGAATTCAACCGTTTTCAAGATATTTGAGTTTCTGTAGTCACATGATATCGGTAGATTAATTTATCGGTGACAATATTTTAGGAGCCATGACCAATTTTGTTCTCAATTTTGATGTTAATGACATCAACATATTGTTATTGTCAATTTCATTGTTTAGGTTTTTCCTTCATTATATTATTACTGCGATTTTCAACTGATATTTTGAGAAATGGCAGGTTTTTCGTGATGCAGAGATGTTTCCCGCTTGACGCATTCCAAATTCTAGAACAATTGATGATTTTCCAAAGATTTCGTGGAAAAGGATGCTTCATAACGAAAAATAGAGACGGCCAAGAAGTTCGAGATCGGTTGAATTTTTTGTATTTTGATAGGAGTACCATTTTTAGGTAATTTTTCTCTCTCTAACAAATGCTTCTGTTTTTTCACCGAAAATAAAACAAGGAAAAAAGTTGTTTTCAAAAAATAATGACCCCTTTTAAATATAGAAGAAATGTATAAAAAAACTGGATTTCATCAACATACATTCATGCAGGAAATTTCAATTTGGTGGCTCTTGTACCGTTCAGAAGTTATGCGAAATGAATATTTCAATTGTATCAACTTGGGAAGGATATATTTCCTTTAATACACATTTTGGACCATTAGGTTTATTCATCAAACTATACTTATTTTTCATTTGGGTACACATTTTCGACTCACCTTGTATACCTCGGAAGAGGAGCAATTCGAAAAATTCGATTGAAAATACCCCAAAAAATAAAATTTTCGGACCAATCATTTCTTCAACTTGATTTTCCCACAGAAAAATATTATGTCAAGTTGAGAGAAAATAGATGACTGTATTAAAAATACCTACCACAAAAATAGTAGATTGTTTTATTAGGATCAAAAGTGACACTTTGTTTGACAAGCGAATTTTGCATTTGCGAGGCGGAGCGTTTAGCGAAGCCGAGCGAAAGCAAAATTTGTGAGTCGAACAAAGTCACTTTTGATCCGAATGAAAGATGCTATTTTTTCTGCAACCGAACCAATTAACTCAAATAAACATGTGAAGTAACCACCAATGCCGTGCCATATGTATGCAATGCAACAAATATTGACAAATAATCCATGTGGTGAGAATATTCTACCTGCATTAACAGCAGGTTAGGTTTTCTAGGATGTGGAAAATGTTAGGTTAGTGAGCATATCAACAATGATAATAGTGATTATTTATTCCTCTCCATACTACACTGTGTTTGACTTGATAATCAAATGAAGCTAAACAATATCGTTGTTTGAGACAAAAAAACTATTGCTTGCCGTGATTATTCAAAAACAAGTTATCCATCCCCAGAATAACGAATGAAATACAGATCCAGCAAGTATTTGAATCTTGAAGGCTCTCCTGATCAAAACAAAAATACTCGACTGAGATGTTTATAATTCCAATACTTAACTATAATGAGGTGTATTTATATCTCCAGCATGGGTATAAATTGCCAAATCTGCTGAAATCGGAAACAAATCAGGTATGCGTCTCAACCCAAATAACCAACCGTCACAATGTTGTTTATTCTTGATGACGTCCAGTAGATCCTTCTTAGTTCCTAGGAGCTAAAGTTCAACTTTAGCTCCTAGGAACTAAAATTCAACTTTAGCTCCTAGGAACTAAATATGTTGCCTAGCAACATACCTATTTTTGTGTCAGTAATAGAAACGTCAATTTAAGAGCTAATTTTGGTATCAAAATGGACGACTTTTGTGTCGGTTGCAGAAAAATGTAATTTTCGACCCATCTGATTCTTCACCTTGGATTTCCCAGAGAAAAATAACTCGAGATGAGGGAAAAAGAATGACTGTATAAACATTGACTTACATTCATACCTTTAGAGAGGAGCAATATGAAAAAATCGATTGAAAATACCTACATCAAAAAATCAAATTTTTGCACAAGCTCTGTTCAATATTGTTCAAACTTCAATGAACTATTTCTTGCTCGTTCGATGGATTGATTGATTGAATATTACCTGCTGCCAAAGCGACCACAACTCCGATAATGGATAGCCACACCATGGGAGCAGCTGTCCATCGTAAAATCAATATGTAAATAATACAAGCCACAACAGCCAACAGGATTCCTATGGCTATTTTCCACCATGCGTGTATCAAATCTTCAACTATGTTCAGACCGACCTGAAAATTATTCGACAATAAGAAACTTTTTGACCGGACTATAACCGAAGTATGGTTATTGAACTTCACAATGTGTTCGTTAAGTACTTAAAAAGAGTAAAAATTGAGGTCCCATACAGCACCAGTACGTCCCCAAGACCTTCTGAGAACGTCCAGCCAAGACGTTCCGTACGTACTGGGGACGTTCAGATTCTGCGCATTTTTACATCTACAGTACGTCCATTCAGAACCGTGAATACCTGATTCAACGTAAATTCGCCCTTTTTTACTCAGATACTTATTTTGAAAAAAAAAAAAAGCGCTCCTACCGGCGATCGATCCCAGGACCTTTAGATTACCGGATTAATTACTTTGTAAGTACTTGTTGAACAAAATCACCAGCATTAATTACACCACAATATGCATGTATGGATAGTAAAGCACATCGACAAATGATGAAATTAGTATCATGAAATGAGTTAGATGGGAAGTGAAATGCGGCACACACAATGATAAACCTGAATTAAACATTAATTTGAACATTATGCCTATTCCAACCTGAAATCGATAAGTTTCACTATTTGAAAATAATCGAATTTTAGGGTATTCCTTTTCAATACAAACTCTCTTATAGGCATCTTGTTTCCAAAAGTCGAAATTTCTCGCACTAGTGCAGGAATGTAAGTAAATCATTCCCAGCCTGATGTACTCATTATAGACCACAATAATGAAGATACTATACAGATAATTTTCTATTGAAAAATGCATAATATGATGACGCGAAAAATTGACCACTTTTTAATTCAATTGAAACATACGGTACTGTCCGAAATAATGTTCATCTCTGAAAAAATTGCCTGCTCAAGTAATACAGGGTTCATTTTGAAAACTTCCCTCCTTCAATATCTTCCCTCCAGTAAATAATATGAAAAATCGAAAAGACAGGGGGACACCTTAAATTGATATTTGTAGACCTCTCTTAGAATCTTTAATGGGAAGGGGGTTAATGACACCTAACCTGATCAATGGTATACCCTCGGGTATACCCTAGTTTATCATTTTCTGTTGAACAGTTTCCGAAAAATGTCGTGTCCTTTTAAACAAAAATCGAAAACACAGGTCGATATCATTTTCAAGGGGGACAACCAAAAAGGTTGAACCATGAGGGCTAAAAATAAGCATTTGAAGTTTCCCCCCCTGAAAACAAAATTGACCTCTCTTTCCGATTTTTCATATTATTTACTGGAAGGAATATACACTCAGTTCCAAAAAAAGTGACGCACTTGATATTTGACCTATCTTCTTAAAAAAAAATAGTAGGCCGATTTTTTTTTATTTGTTGGTAGGTAATGTTGTCTTCAAAAAAAATAAAGATGTGAAAATTCTTTCAAAGCCTCCATGATGGTGGTGGAATAACTCGAACCATGATTTATTCATAATTTTTGACTCACGCTGTGTGTTAATTGAGTAATGGCATAGAAAGTGCTTACACCCTATACGAAAGAGGCTTCTTTTGCGAGCATTGTTTTGTTATTCATTGATTTATCTCTAGAATTTCCCGAATCACAGCTTTTTTTGCTGAATCCTTGCAGATTACCAACTTTCTGAATTTATCGAGAAACAATTTTCTAATGAAATAAACTGATACCAATAATTTTAAAAAACATTTTTATTAAACACAAAATTATAAATTGGGATGACTGCTTAATGCCGTGTATTGCCTCCTTTAGCAACTCTAAGAACTTTTAATCCACGAGGCATACTGGAAATTAAGTTGCTTATCGTTTCCATTGGTATACGATCCCATTCTTCCACTAATGATCTGCCATTCCTGCGAGACTTTCCGGAGACCTCTTGCGAGAACGTACCCTTCTCCCTAATTCTTTCCACAAATGTTCTGTAGGATTCATATCGGGGCTTCTCGCAGGCCATTGTAATGTGGTAATACCAGTAGCTTCTAAGAAGTTTCGCACTATTGCTGCGGTGTGTGGTCGGGCATTATCCTGCATCAATATAAAATTATTGCCCACTAACTCTGCATAAGGTAAGACATACTGCTCTGAAATGTCAATGTGAATTTGGGTATTCATGGACTGCCTCAACGGAAAAACATGAAGGGGTGTCTTTCCATTCATTGAAATCCCTCCCCACACCATAACGGACCCACCATTAAAACTTTCGCATTCTGTTATTAAGTTTTCATTAAACCGTTCACCAGTTCTTCTACACACTCTTTTTCTTCCATTCACCATGTTTAGGCAAAACCTTGACTCATCCGTAAACAAGACATTCGACCATTCAGGAATATTCCACTGCCCATAATTTTCAACAAAATTTCTTCTAGCAGCACGATGTTCGGGTAATAATTTGGGACCTTTTGCAGGTCTCCTAGCTTTTGAATTAACTTCTTAGACTTAGACGTCTACATACCGTCTGCTTACTTACTGCAACATCACGAATTTGGCGAAGATCTTGCTGAACAGTATTTGATCGATTCCGTAAAATCGGCAATCTCAAGAAGCGATCATCTCTTGGAGAAGTTTTTCGGGGGCGACCAGAACCGACCCTACGAGCGGTGCTTCCTGTTTGTTCGTACTTGCGGATTGCTCTACGAGCAGTTGCTTCATGAACTCCCACTGCACGAGCGGTGTAACGCCCATCGTTTACTGACGCAACTAATCTTGCTACATGTTCAGGATTTATTTGAGGCATTTTATGTAATTTTAGTCAATAAAACAAGACACTTAATTAATGACACAACGACAAATGGTCAAATATGGAGGCATACAACAAATTAGTTGCTATGGCAACGGCATTTGTTTTATTAAAGACAATGTGATCCTACCAGAGTACAACCCAATCAATTTTAATTTGTGGGATAAGCGTAAGGTATCAGCAAAAAAGCTGTAATTCGGAAAATTTTATAGATAAATCAATGAATAAAAAACAAAATGCTCGCAAAAGAAGCCTCTTTCGTATAGGGTGTAAGCACTATGTATACCATTACTCAATTGACACACAGGGTGAGTCAAAAATTAAGAATAAATCATGGTTCAAGTTATTCCACCACCATCAAGGAGGCTTTGAAAAAATATTCACCTCTTCATTTTTTTTAAAGACAAATGCATTACCTACCAACAAATAAAAAAAAAAAAAATCGGCCTACTTTTTTTTTTAAGAAGATAGGTCAAATATCAAGTGCGTCACTTTTTTTGGAACTGAGTGTATTAAGGGTGGAATGTTTTCCAATTGACATGGCATTTTTCAAAAATTGCTCAAGAGAAAATGTTGAGAACAGAATTGAACGTCCTTTGAAATGATATGCCACTTGACCCCTCTCTCCATTTGAAATTCTGAGGATAGCATCAACCCCTACTAGGAGGTCGAACCAATAGGGCTAAAACTATCAATTATAAGTGTCCTCGAAAATAAAATTGACTTGTCATTTCGATTCTTCATATTATTGATTAAAAGGAAGATAGTTAAATTTGCATAAATTGCGTCATGGATTATGATGGAACTGATTCAATAATTCAAATATCCCTTTAAAAAAAACCATTAGTATAGTTATCCCGGGTGGTCCACTTATCCATCCTAATAAAAAATGATTTTACAAAAAACGTTGTTTTCTATTCAAATTTTGAGGAAAAAATAAACGTGTTCCATTGTTTTCTTGTGAAATCATTTTTTTCGAGTTATCGAAGGTGGATAAGTGGACCACCCGGTATACACAGAACAATAATTGAACGACACACCTTCGAATCAAACACAAAGCCGTTGGTTTAAGCAACAATTAAGGAACAAGCTATTATTTTGGAAACATCACACAGAAATAGACGTAAAAGACATCGACACTACAGGGTGTTAAATTACGGCCTAGCCATCGGCTGTATTTTTGGAATCACTTGTAGGCACTATAAAATATAATCCAAAAATATTCTGGAAGGCGATAATTCGAAGTGGCCACTGTGGTCATGACATGAGAGATATTTTTTCAGCAAGTTGTATACAGGTTGATGGCCTATTAGAAGTATCTGGATAAAGAAAAGACAGAACATTCTAAAAATTGATATGCTTTGATAATTGAATATTCTCTATACGTCTAAAATATTTTCATCGATACAGTGTATCCACTTCTATCAGAAACTACTAGCAACTTTGGTATTTCAAATTGAACACCCTGTATATTATTGCATTTTTAGTGTCTTCCTGAAGAGCTGATTTCATCAATGTATCACATTTGTGGTCTAGCAGGAATGATTACAGAGATATACAGGGTGTTTCATAATTGAATGCTGAACCTAAAGGGCGATAATCTTTGGATAATTTTAAGAAAAATTCTGCATGTGAACATAGGTCCGTAACAGCTTCGTTTCTGAGATACAGGATGTTGAAATTTAACAAAAAAATCAGTTATTCCCCAATATCTCTAAAACCGCTCTGGCTTTTTTCTTCAATTTTGGTACATGCCAAGTATGCATAGAAATATATTTTTTCCATAACTAATGATTCCTCAATTTCCATCAGTAGCGTCCCTGTTAACATACTCTGTCATATTTTTCATCAAAATAATAATACGCCACTGTCTTTTTTCCAAATAAATATTATTTTTGTAATTATCCTCTATATTCTCATAAAAATGGTTTCCTGTATTTTTTTCGTCCGGCGAACGGTTTTTGAGTTAGAAAATAAAATGCATTCATTTGCTTGTCCCTAGAAATGTGTTCTTAGCATACTAGATGTTTCTAGCCCACAAGATAATCCTACCTTCAACGTCTGATTTCGCGTAGGGACAAGCCAATGAATGCATTTTATTTTCTAACTCAAAAACCGTTTGCCGGAAGAAAAATAGACAAGAGACCATTTTTATGAGAAGATAAAGGATAATTACAAAAATAATATTTATTTGAAAAAAATACAGTGGCGTATCATTATTTTGATGAAAAATATGACAGGGTATGTTAACAGGGACGCCACTGATGGAAATTAAGAAATCCTCTATTATGGAAAAAATGTATTTC